TCTCATTTTTCTCAGATTTGTCATTTTTGGGATCACCATTGCATAGACTCATGTGACCATGCAATTTCCCTTTCACAATTATTAATTTTAAATTCTCGTTATATTCCTGTATGCCTTGATTTTGCCAATTCCATTCAGTTAATGATATTATTTCAGTTTTTTGCCAGCAATTAACAATAGTCTGAGGGTTTACATTTCTCCAAGCTTCTGAACAAAGATCAATAGCTTCTTTTATATTGAGGCGAGGTATTTCTTTTTCAGAATCAATGGCCTCCAATACTATTTGAAAATACAATTTTCGATAGTAAGCTTTAAAAGAATTAATTATTCTGACATCACATGGTTGCAAATAAGAGGTGGTGTTTGGTGACAAAAAATATACTTTAATATAATCCAAGTCTTCGTTAATTATGTGAGAACTGGCATTATCGATCAAAATTAGAATTTTTCTATATTTAAGACTATTGATATAATTCAATGATTTTATCCAACGATTAAAAATATCACTTGTCATCCATGCCTTTTTGTTCGCTTCATATTTGGCATCAAGATTTTTCTTTCGAATATTTTTGAAACATCGAGAATTTGCCAACTTTCCAATAACTAGTAATTTAAGTTTATCTGTATCAGATGTATTCGTACAAAGTAGTATAGTAATCCAATTCTTATCCTTCTTTTTTCCTTTTACTGACTTGGTTGCAAGTGTTTGATTAGGTGTTATCTGAAAAAAAAGACTGGTTTTGTCAGCATTATAGACATTTTCTGATTGATATTGCAAAAGTAGTTCAATTAATTGCTGTCTTTGTTCAGAAAGGTCTTTAACTAGTATACTTTCTAATTCTCCATGAATTTTAAAATGACGAATATCATGTCATTTTTTAAATCTATTGACCCAATCTTAACTTGTCTTAAACTCATTTTCAGAAATATTTAAAAGTTTAACAAACTTTTTTGCTTATAATTGTAAGAGTCTATTAGTTAAAACAATATTTTGAGAAAAAATCCTACGTGTCCAGATACTCAAAGCATCTTTCAAGTTTATAAACTTTACTGGTCTGTTAGTCTTTATTTTTTCTTTGTAACTTGTAAGTTTTTTGGACAACCACTTATTCTTTTCCTTCAAAATCTTTGCAATTATACTTCTATCGCAATTATATTCTTCAGCTAATTCAATAATACTTAGGGGTGTATTAATTTGCTTTTGTTGACATATTTCTTGCTTTGACTTCATAGTTAAGTGCATTTATTTTTTTTGTGGACATTTTGATTCTTTATTCATGGTTATTATCTTATTTAGTGGAATTTTTAAAACAGCATTTGAATTTTATATAGCATGACATTCAAATAATT